GAGGCAGGGCCTGCACTCGCAGGAGGCTGGCGCGGGGAGCTCGATGCCCGCCCCGTCCCATCTCCTGGAAGAGCGAGGCTAGGAGCTCCTAGAAAGCCTCACGGAACAGGAAACCAGGCACTTTCAGGACATGGAACACGCCAGGGGTGTTTTCTCCCCAGTCTGACCTTCCCAGAGCTGCAGGTTTAGCGGGAAAGGGAAATGTCAGAGGATTAATAATTTCGTTTATGTCTAAAAACAATTTAAAGCCTAGGGCAGATTGGCCCCAAAGGAAACCTCTGGAGTCCTTCAAAGCTGGGGTCTTGCAGACTGTCAAAAACCTCAGCTCTGGAGGAGGACAACACACCTCTGGAAAACCAGGCCTCAAGGCCAAGGCAGGCCTGGGCCACGTGCTAACGTGATCTGGGATTCACAGGAGCGAAGAACTACAGTCCCCCGACTCTTCCCTTTCGGGAGGAGGCCAGCAGGTGTGGTGTGGAAGTCTCCTCCTCCCGTGGGTCCCGGAGATGGTCTGTTCACAGGCTCCCCCTACGGGACCAGCCGCCATCACAGCACTGCTCCTGCCTTCCGAACTAGAGGGAGAAGCTGAAGGAGTCCCTGTCACACGGGTCCCCTATGTGCCTGGAGCTGCCGTGCCACTGGGCACTTCCCTGGGGCCGTGCGTACTTGAGCCCACGCTGGGCGCTGCTCTCAAGACACAGCTTCTCGTGGTCTACGTACTTAACACAAACCCCACGCCACACCGGGAGTCCTTGCACCCTTGACCTCAGTGCTCTGTACAGGGCACAGTGAGGCACAGAAATGCCGAATGAAATTTGTTTTTAAAAAGATGTTTTACAATCCAGTTCTCAGAAGCTGCACGCTGCTGAGGAGTAACTGCTTAAACACAGTATTGGTAGGGCCAGTCCTGCAGTGTAGACGGTCCACACACTATTTCCTAGGCCACCTTCCTCTTTGTGATCTCCCGGCCCTGTTTGCCCGTGTCTCTTTTCCCATGGTCCATTTCTGTGTTTATTTTGGGTTTAACCTTTAAAAGTTTTTCCAGTGTGTCACAAGGGACCTCCCAAGGGGCACGCATGCCTTGCCCCCAGGAAGTCTGTGTATCGATGTTGAAACTGTTTACATACAGGGATGTATAGCAGCCCTGTAAGGATTCTGAAAGAACCACTGTTACTCGGGGCAGATGAGAACTTCAAAACAGAAGACAGGTAACCAGGACTTTTCCTTCTCAGTCCTACTTACCTGCAAAAGCTTCTGCCCCAACACTGAGACTCTGACTCTAGTGCAGGGTAAGTGTTGTTGGATTTCAGGAATGTGGCAAGGAGGGCACACTTTTGCGACTTCCTCTCTGCCCCATCAGCAAAAAGACTAAATGCAAACAATGAACCTGGACTTAAAAAGCCTCTGGAGGTGTGTGAATATGAGGTGACAGGAACAGGCAGCTGTATGCTCTTCAGACTATAACCTTCCTCAAAGCAATGGATGAAACCTTCCTCTCCTATCCACAGTGGCTTATGTAATCAACAGTATTTAATAAATTTCAAATACCAATGACCTTGAAAGTAAACCAGAAGATCACTTCTAAAAATGTAACGATCTTCTTAGAATCAGATGTTTGCTGGACAGGGTAGCTCTTTCATTTCTAAAAATAAGGCAGTACTAGGGCTTTCAGTCCTATTACCTTATCCAGTAATTTCTAGAAAATTGGATTTGATGGCAAATAAGTGTCTTCAATTTAGACCTGGGAAATCTGAAGGGGCACCAGGCCATGTGTGAAGCTGGGCCAGGGCTAGACATGTGACTCAACTCCATTTCAATGACAGTTTCTGTCTCCTGGGTCTTCCTTCCACTGGACCACAGTGGGCAGACTGGAAAACGCATCCACCATTTGTTTCACGTGGGCTTCCGCTACCTAGACACACCATCCCTGCCGAAGCGAGGTCTCCCGGTGGATGACTCGTGGAGGCTGGAATGAGAATCTTCCAGTATGCGGCTCTTGCTGGTTCATCTGTGAGCCCGAGAAGAGACAGACGGCCCTCGGCTCTGGAGTCGAGCCTCCCCCAGATGCTCTGAGTCTTCTCCTATGTAAGACACGCTTAGTGTCATGGGCCCACTTCTCCCAACATCTCATTCAGAGATTAACCACCTTAGCTCCAAAATCGCATCACCGTGAAAACAAAAACGCTGCAGTCTGCTTGAGATCATTTTTGCTCTGATTAAAATTTTTATTGAAATCTCTCACACGTCGCCAAGAAATAGTTTTTGCAAAAGGGGGGTGGGGGGAGAAAAATAGCTAACGAACAGATTCAACATGGGAGCTCCCTCTGCTGGTCTGCAGGAGGTTGATATGTTACAAACACATTCCCAGAGACAAATCTAATTTGCTGGAGAAGTGGACAAAAGACAGGTGTGTTGGGCTTTGCCTCAGGAGAGAAACACTAGAAGAAAAAAAAAATCCATGTCTCAAAACAGAGCACAACATTGCTAAGAAAAGCAAAATTATTTAAAAAGCTTCTTCAAGGACATTATAGAATTTCCAGAACAAAATCTGAATTATCCACTAAGGGGAGATGCTCCATTTGGGCCCACTCTGCCCTACATCCAATTAATAAAGATTCTGTTAGGCCCTTTGGGCGAAGGTTAAGTGCTGATTCCCTTGTCTTTTCCTCCAAGTCTCTTCTTACAGGCTTCCCATCTACTTAGAGAAGAAGGGTCCGAGTGGTCACTGTGGAGTGAGGCCTTTCCAAAATTCCATCAAAGAACAAGTCTTTGGGGAGCCAGCACCTCTGAGCAGAAAGAGCAAGGCCTGGGAGTCAGGCGGCCCGGGCTAGTCATGGCGGAGCCACTTGTGTTTTGGGTAACTCCATCTTCTCGGGTCTGTTTCCTCATCTGTAAAATGGGTCAGACCAGCTGATCTGCAAAGCCTCTCCCAGTTCACAACTCTAGGATTCTCCTATTGGACAAATACATTTAAATAACCGTATTTGTTCATGAATCTTTAGGATATAGAGTCCAAGACTGCACTGGGAATAACGCCAAAGAAGAAGTGGGGTTGAACACGTGGATCTCACTGATAGCAGATGAGAGTTCCACCGAATCTAGGACCGGTGCGGCAGGGCCAGGTGGATTCCAGGTTGGAAAGTCTCAAGATCAAGGAAGAACTCAGTAGGGGAAGGTGCCAGTACGGGCAACGCACCCCATTTTAAGCCAAATGGCTGAGTCCATCTAGTCTTGGAACTGTCTCTCCTCATCTCTCCTTACAATGGCACAGGCTTTCTAATCTCTTTAGGCACTTTAGGTCCTTCTGCCACTGTACCCCCAGAATTACTTCTGATTTCATCCGTTACATCAATGAAGCAAGGGCAGACGTCATGGCCAAAAGCCACCACGCCCAGTCCTTTCTTGCCATTGTCAGCTCTTGATGGTGAAAGGCTTTGTTGCTGACTAATCAAAGCCACGGCTATTCAGAAGACTATGCAAATTTGCACTGTTTCCTGGTATTTATTAACATTTGCCTTAATTAACTGCCAGCGTATCTGGGCAGCCTAGCAAGAGGCGACACATCACCCAGTGACGGGGTGCGGAGAACAAAAGAGACACTTAGTCGATCCATGTCATCTACAAATGATCCCCAGCCCACTACAAACGTCCCGGTGACTCAGCAGGAGAGATCCAGAGGTTGCGTCTGACCCTGTCCCCTTCCTACTACCTGCCAGTCGTGAGGGTTTCCCAGCACTGGGGTGGAAAAAAGGTGGAAGCAGCCGCGGGGAGGAGAAGCACAGGCACAGCTAATCCTGCCGCTTCAATTTACTTTCTGTGCCAAGTGTTCTCACTACCATCTTCATTTTTTCTTCACTATCTGTAGTTTCTCCCTCCTTTGCCCAACACAGAGGGCAACTGCTACTGGGCCCAGACACCAAGGGTTTCTCTTTGTAGAAACCGCCTGGTGCCTGAACACACGTGAGTGCAGCCCCAGGAAGCTGAGTCGCCAATGGTAACTCCGCTATAGAGAAGGAGAATGTGTTCACCCAGCAGTCCTGACCCTGTGGCTTTCGAGAACCCTCGCTGGGGGCTGTCTGCAGGGGTCTTAGTCAACATAATGAGCTCTGTACAACCTAAAAGAGTTTTAAGTAAGAAGGACCAGTTTTCTGGGAAGCTGTTTGTTCCATCCAGCCCCGTAAATAAACATTAAGCAAAATAAACAAATGGAAACCCCACCTGTCCTGCCAATTTTTTTAAAAAACCAGGCTGAACTGCACATGCGTAAGACAGATGATATCTACGTATGTGCTTTCTATGTACTTGTTACCGGTTATCAGTCTTTGCAGGCCAAAGAGTAAGTAGTTACCTCCAAAGGGGAATCTTTACCGTGACCACTACTGCTGGCACTAAAAGCAAAGCTAAGAGAAACATTTTCTCCAAGGGGAGAGAGGAAGTGTTAGTATGTGGACAGTAATCTTGGTGGAGAAACAGGGAGTTTATTTATAAACCTCAGGCTATTCTTAACTAAGAAAGAAAGCTGGTCAGAACAGAGTTGTTTACCTTGACCTATAATTACACCCTAGACACTCTATTGTACCTCCTTTCCTACAGGGTTTCTTAAAAACGGAAGAAAGGAATCCTGAATCTTCCCTACAACGTATGTGAGAAAATGCATGGTCTTCCCCCAGAAGGTTCCCTGTTGGTCACCAGATTCTCACAGAACCCGAGAGCAGAAGCCTCTCAACACACAGAAACACACACAGACGCACGTAACTCCTGTTACGACTGCATCCTCCCTCTGCAGCCCTTCCGCACCACAAGACACACACGTCTACGCTCCGGTGACACCCTCTCGCTAGCTGGGAGCCGGGGGGTGGGAGGGTAACCTTGCCCCAGTCTCTCGTGTGTGATATGATGGTGAGATCATTAAGGAAGAGAGAGGTGTCGATTTGGGGCAAACATCAGGCAGTGGGTGATGTCATTGCTGTCAGACGATCCTCATCAGTCCTGGAGGAGTGTCAGCTTGATTTAGAGGGGATCATTAATGTCTCGGAGGTGGATCTGTTAGCTGGATAGGTGTTAGTTGTACGGTGTGCTCTGGGGAACCAGGTTCGAAAGGACCGGTGGAGGAGGGAGTGAAGTCGTGGCCGAGGGGTATAAATTACCTGGGCATGCAGTGAAGCGGGGTAGGTGAAAGCAGGAGGAGGTAGAGCAGGCGCTAACTCCGCTGGGTACAGAGGGTACGGGGCCCACACTTCAGGGCTACTGGGGTAAAGTGCAGGCACTGTGAGCTCATCTGCAAGAAAAGAATAAGGCAAGAGTTAGTAGGTATCAAACAGCTAGTTTCCAATCAGAAAACAAAACACCCAATAACCCCGAGCCCCACTCAGTGTCAGAACTGACTCTCATTCTTTTTAACAACCCGTGGTCTCTGGTCCCCCAAACGCTAAGCAAGGGAATGGACAAAGCAAAATAAAAAAAAAAAAAAAAAAGCAATGAGCATCTGCTGCCTGCCTGGCCTGCTGAGATCTCAGGCCTGGACTCTGCCTGGGACACTCTGATGTCCTTCCAGCGGTGGCTGGGGAACCCAAGAACAGTGGGAATTTCCTGCACAAAGCAGAGAACGTGGGCCTCCGAGGAAAAGGAAGAGAAAGAACCAATAGAAGATATCCCATGAGAATCCACCGCAGAGCCTTTGGGAGAGCCACGGCTTACTGGCAGGACCCCAACAGACCAGAAGAACTGTAAGACTTTTCTGCTTTTTAGTATAATTGCTATTGACAAATAAATCATGAGCATTTTCCACCCAGCCCACAGAAGTACAGGCCAAACACTGTGACCACAGGACGTTTAAGATGTTAAAAATTCAGAGAATGAAAGTGAAAAACCTTGAGTATCGTGATTAAAGTTAAATACACAAATAACATTTAGTTGCTGTTTACACTGACTATATTTCCTGGGGTGGGGGAGGGGAGTAAGTTATGTTGCCAACTGCCTGATCTAAATGTTCCTCATGTGGCTCCAATTCCACTCAGGTCAAGCTGCAGTTTGCCAGAATGAAGGGCAAGCGCGGGGGCCACCCAGAGCATCAGGAAGCAATCCATTAAACGTACCGGCAAACACATGAGGGAGCTTCTCGAGGACGGCAAAAATAACATCGGTCAATAGTTACGAATTTGGACCCTGTGAAGCAATCTCAATATGTGCTTTTATCACCTGTCAGAATCTGAAATCAAGTACGCCAAGGATGCGAGCCAGGACTGCCGAGGGAGACAGGAAAAGGTGACTGGATAAAGTCATTAGTAACCCCCAATTCAGGACTTTCCAGAACGTCTACAGTGCGCGTGACCCACGGTCAACAGAGTCACTCCACTCCTTCCCACCACCTAAGGAGCTGCCATTCCAGGCTGCTGTCGCCCTCATCCTTCCCATCTCTGAAACTCCGGTTCTAGGTAGGCATTTCAATAAGGACAGGGGCTTAGAAACAGAAAACTGCTTTGTTGGGTGTGATGTGGTGGCGATTACTCTATGGAAGCAACTAGAAAGTGGCAGAACCCGTGGGTGTATGTGGATCTGGTGGGCAGGGCTTGGTGAGGTTTTCCACGGCCAGCCTGGGAGGCAAGAGCATCTCACGGATAGACAGTGGGGAGACCAGAGCTTCTGACCGATGACCGTCCATTCAAAGGGCAGTCTGTGCTCGTTTCCAGAAACAGCAGGATCCCAATAATGTCGGTTAATATCCTGTGGCTGGCTGGCCTCCCTGTCTTTTTCCTCCTCTCAACAGGCAGATAAACGTGCCTCCTTGGATTTGGTGATGGGAATACAGGCTGCCCGTGTATCTCGGCTGGGGGGACCACACCGTCAGAGTTGACTGATAGTTGTTATCTGGGCAGCGAAGCAACAGCACCATAAGCCTCTTTAAAATGATGAGGTCCACACCATCCACTTCAAGTTCCAGGATGTGTGCGTATCTGCAGCCCAAGGCTTAGGAAACCCCTCACGGAGGGGTCGAGAGGATGCTTAACAGATCCCTGTGTTTCCTGTCGTGATGAAACCAGATGATTTCCATTAGAGCGAGTCTGGTGGGAGCCCAGCGAGTGGAAACTAACTGCTGCCAGAACCAATGCCTTGGATTTTACACAACCCTTCCGACCAACCATTCTCAGCAATGCCAAGCGATTACGGTTGCTGCTGTTGTTATTTTAGCTACCAGGCTATTTTAGGGCGCACAAAGTCTTAAAAAGTCAAGAGAGTCTCAAGCCCTAGTACACTCATCTCTAGCCCGTGTTACTGATGCAGACGGACAGAACGTCAGTGGAACGTGCCTGCCTGCAGCCTGTCGGTGGCCCTTCCTCATCTCCCTGCCTACCAGGAACTGGCTAACCGGGGGTGCAGGGCTGTCACCTGATCGGTGGATGCTTCCTTTAGAAAACATTATAAATGAAATGAGTATGTCCTTTAAGTAATGGAGATAGGGTGTAATCAGGTTTCAATCTCAGCTAACTGGTGGAATTTATAATTTCCAGACCTTTCTACATTTTTATCCTAAAGCGTTACTTCCCATTAGGTCTACACTGATGCTCAGAGACAATTCACTAATTAACATGTGCACAAAACCTAGCCCAGCAGAATAAAGGATTTGCTCTGAAATCCCGTGAACTCAAAGTTGTTGAGTAATACAGTACAATGCCGGCTGAAGCAGAGGCCTACAAGACATTAGGGCGAACTTACACTCGATAAATCCCTTGACTCATCTTACCATCCATCTCTCCTTTCTCCCCTCATGAAGGAATCTGGAGCTACCGTAAATGCCAAGAGACATGTAGCCCAACCAGGCTGGGACCAAACTAGTGGTGAAGCAGCGCTCACAGACACCTACATTTCAACAAGAGGCTGAGAATTCTCTTAAAACACATGCACACACTCCTCTGATGGAAGAGGGTATTAAGCAGAATGAGCCTTTTTTGCATTTGTACACTTTTTGGTTGCTAATGTAGTCTTGGAAAATTACGAAAGCTGAAGAGACAGGTTTTGCAGTGAGCCCTGAACGAGATGTCCCAGTTGGAGGAGCAGCAGGCCGCGCAGGAAGGGGAGCAGCAAGGCTCTGACGGGTTCCACCTTCCTGAGTCCTTGCCCATCCTGCTCAAACTTCCTAGGATGGCAAGGCTGGGGAAAAAAAAAAAAAAGATTGCTGCCCAAGGCCTATTGGGATAGACTGGAGTCCAGGGAAGGGGTGCGATTCCTCTTGACAAAAGAGGCTCTTGACCACCCAGGCTGAGGCAGGCCCCAGCGAGCAGAAAGAGGGCAGATCAAGAGGCCAGGGCTTTTTTGTCTGGGCCTAATCCGACCCTCCTGCGATGCCTGGCAAATCCTTTCCCATTGCACCAAATCTGGCTACATCTTTTCTCCTTTCGCACCTTCGGCGGATAATGTTGTCCAGGGCTCACAATATGCATCTGAATAGGCCTTCTTCTTAGCATGAGAATATGCAACCAGAAGAGCTCAAATTGAATTCTGAAAAACAAGGACTAGAAAACTTCTAAATCCAGCCTCTAATCCCTTTAAAAAGAGGGAACTGCAGTGTCTGACGAAGGTTTAAGCCTGAAGAGCTCAGGAAGATCATCTCGTCTGCCTTTTCATTTTAGATGAGGAAACAGATGAGGAAAGGTGAAGCAAGCAGGACTTAAATGTGGCCATAAACCTCTGAGGACAGCTGAGAACACAAGGTTCAGGAACTTTAAATCAGTATTTTGCCCCCTGAAAATTTCTATTTGGAAATATTCCACAATAACTTCATGCTCAACATACTCAAAACTAAACACACTCCCTACAACAGTCTGTCCTTCTCGGTTCCAGATTCCAGTACAAGATGCCACCTTGCACTCAGCTGCCCCGGCCAGAGACCTGGCAGCCATCCCATTCTCCTTACATTCAAACTTCCATCGAGGCTTGCTGCATCTAGCCCACCATCTACTCTGACCTTCTCCGCCACTACTGGATCACTGAAAGGCTTCCTGAAAGTCCTCCTGGCTGCCACGCTGAAGCCAAGACAACTTTTAAAATACATGATTCAGTCTTGTCACTTTCCTGTTTAAAACCGTTCTGTGACTCCCCTTGCTCTCTGACTCCCTGAACTCCAGGCCATGGCCTGCAAGACCCCACATGTAAAGTCAAAGCTAGAGCTAGGGGAGAGAAAAAAAGAAATCCCACGTGATCTGGTCCTGTATCCCTCACCAGTCCGAGCTGTCACCTGGCTCTCCCTTATGACTCCAACTAGGGGCAGTCATTTCCACTGCCTGACCTCAATGCTTCTCCCCCACACACTGCTCCCTCTGCCAGGGGGAACTAACTCTTCAGCACACTCTACTAAATGCCACTTCCCTGGGGGCCTAGCCTCACCCCCTCCTAGTGGGCAACAGTGCTCTGGGGAGTCCTGCACCCCCCAAATCACAGCAGTCACTACTGCCTGGGCGGTAAAGCTCCTATCCTTGCTTACCCAGTCCCCAGCACAGTATCATCAGACAGTACCAAGAGGTCAATCATTTGCTCTATACTTGAGAATATGAATGGAGAAAAAAAAAATATATACTTCCATCCTGCCTTCAAAGGGGAAAATAATCAAATTGTGAGTTAATTCAATTCTGAGCGAGAGAGAAATATGCACATAAAAACACCGGGATCTAGCTTAGATCTCACAGTTAACTTACAGTGTCTGAACTGAGACTAGAACCCCGGTCTCTCATCACACGGTTCTGTGTCCCTTCCATACACCATCCTGCCCTCCTCCCCGGGGTGGGAGATGTCCCCACTACCGGTGGTGGTGACAGGGCCCTTGGAACGCAGGTGGCATTTTTCTCAGTTTACTATAATAAACTCTAGGAGTCTTCCAGGAGAGCTTGCCTGGTGGAGGAAGAATTTGGCTAGGAAAAATGTCAGCTATGACATAGATGATCCAAACATGACGAAAAATTCCATTTTTAATATGAAAAAAATCAATTTTGAAACAAGAAAAATAAATCAAGGATTCTGTTAGCAATCAACTCACGCTCGCATACCTTGGCAAGTAGTGGATCTATGCCTGCTGAGTAAACCCTTCAGAAAGCAGCCTAATGATGCTTACTGTTTTAAGAACATGCCTATTAGGACACGCTCTTCCCGCGTTGGGCCCACACCAGCCCCCACGGTCCAGGGCGGTGCACACCAGCTTCTGTGATGGACTGAATTCAACACTGTCCCCCTAAGCCACGTCCACCTGGAATCTCAGAATGTAACCTTTTTTGGGAAACAGTCTTTGCA